ATCGTTGGTGACCGGCGTCAATCGATACCGATCCACTCCGTTGGCGTGAAATGAAGTGACCGGCAAGTCTGTCAAATCGCAGGATAGCTCCATTTCCGCAGTCGCCATTTCGATTCCCATACTACCCCGTTGCTTGATCTCTCGAATCGCCGGTTCTTCCAGATCGCCTTAGATCCTCAGTCGCAGAGTATGAACGCGGCCTTTTTTATTTGAAGTCCTCTGGATCACGCTTGGATGACCTTTATTGTTCAATTGTTTTAGTCATGAATCGCATTTATTCATTGGGTGATCTTCAAACCCTGAATAAATAAATGGCATAGGACGCACTCCGCCATGTTCCAAGTGATTTGACGCCAAAGTTCGACGGTCAACTGGCTAGGGAAACTTGCGGGTGATGCCGTGAAATCTCCTGAACATAATCTGACAGGGCCACAACCGCGCACTTCGCTGAAGTCAACCGCGTAGCACCGTTGAGGTGTTGAACACGCAAAATTGAAATGATTTTCAGTTGCGCTATGCTTGAACCTTTTCTAACTTCCATAAAACACCGTTATATATGCTATGTTAGGTGTTTTTTTCTCTTTTGTACACTTTGTTTTTTTATTTGGTCTTCATTTATTAGTTAACTTCTAATTTCTATATGGTTTTATCGTGTTTCTATTTGTTTTTCCCCCATGATATTTCTTCGTATTTGAAGTATTCCACTCTTCATAACGTGCCTTCGCTCACACGCAATGTATCATACTTTCTGCGGACTTTCGCTATTGATGAGTGTGTTTCGCTTTGGTACTAGTTGTTAGCGTTTAATAAGAAAGTTTTAAATTAATTTTAATTGGAACCTAATGACATGGGAATATTGACGAAACGTTTATAGCGTAATATCTTCGCAAGAAGTGACGATTTCGACATGTTTTGTGCCTAATAAGCATATGGTGTGCAACTGCGGACAGTATCGACGCAAGAAGTCGGGGCGGCGTCAGGAGAGGCAGAGTGAGCCGATGGTATTTACAAATCACAACGCCGCTGTGCGTCGCGGTCGCGTCACGGCGTCAGCGGAGCGCGCCAGCGGTCAGTGGAGTTATGCTCTAGGACAGACGGGGATTCTAGCAGTGTTCTCCTCTATGTAAAAAAGAATATCGTTTTCTGTTCACCTATAAGTTGGGTGTGTACATTTAGCTAGGCCAAGTTAGGCAGACTCACCTCATACCTAGTTCCCCTTGGGGAGTGGTGCGAGGATGAGTCTTCGGGAGAGTGGGTGTATGGGGAGGCTTCGCAAGGCGGCAACTGTGTGCTAAACTCTTCCCTGCTAGGTTCACCCAAGCGGAGAACAACGAGCAGCCCCCTATAAGTACACTAAGCTTCATTCGTTTTTATATAAAAACGGTCGACGATTTAAAACTGTGTTATTTTTCCCGTTTCGTAGTGCTTTTCAAACATGCATTAGCAAGACTTACTTTAGTCTTTTTCTATTTGTTCAAAGCTGATGCCTTTTTCCGTCTGCACGGTGCTATGAACAAACACATTAGAGAAAGAGTAGGCTGAAGTAGCGTGGAAGCAATGGTGATTAATTAATTAATTAATTAGAAGCTCGATAGTCAAGTTGTCGAGCATTGAAGGCTACTATTGGTTACCCATAATAGGTGCTGCAAAAGCAGTCCAAAGTTCGTGAAGTGCTCAGTCAGGGAAGTCCTAGAACTGCTTAAGATCGGCTCAAGACCTCACAAATAGGCCGTGCAACTTGTAGAGTTCTGAGGGCTACGGTTTTCAGATGAGCCAGAAAGCAGCTGTGTCAGATATTTAGCATCCAAAACCCCCGTTGTTCCATATGTTTTCACATTAGGTTTCCTCAGTGGCCTAGATTCCTCCGTACCATGCTGGATGATAGATGATGCTCATGCCGTCATTGATTATGAACTGATCTACGCTAAAAGACTCATTAAGTTCATGAAAAGTGAAAGTCATGTTGTCAGAAACATAATGGCAAGAAAAAACAATGTTGTTGTTAAGGGTAGGTAGAAAACCCCAGCCACCAGACGATCACCTGGCGCGCTCCGCTGACGCCGTGACGCGACCGCAATGCACAGCGGCGTTGTGATTTGTAAATAATATCGAGTGAGCCCACCTCCAGCTTCCTTTTTACCTAGAGGGGGTTCAGGAAGAAAACAACGCAGTGGATGTGGGCGCTCATTCCATTTTCCATCACCATTTTCATTCGCTCTTGACACCGCCCCGACGGATTGCGGCGAGATTAGGGTGCCTATTAACGGAAATGGCACAATGAAAAGTCATTGAAGTAAAATACTACTGGCTTATTAAGGAGGGTTGAGACCGAAGAAGTAGCTCGGCTTCCGTTTCCCTTATGCACAAGCCGAGAAAAAACATAGTCCTCCCCTATGCTAATCAATCCCTGGATCTGTCAGCAGGCGGGTGATTGGCTGCTGACGGCAGCATTTGGTTGTACCTACTGTCGTCTATCCACCCCCGATGAGCCTCAGCCTTCTTTTCCTTCTCAAGCACTCAGCCGAGGAATGTTACGAAGAAAAGTTTTTCGTCTGAACTCTCGCAACGAGGTAATGTTTACCCATAGACTACTTTGGTTACCGGAAGTGAGGGTTCAACTCTGATTGCTGGAGACAGCCGGCGCTTGACACAAGACAGCGCCTCGAAGTACCTTCCCCTAACCGAGGCTCAGGTTTATGTACGGACGACCAGAGTGGGATGGGGTTTTTGAAAGGGAGGGAGACTTCGTAGAGGAGTGCATCATATTTGGCTCGTAACGAGTACTTTGCAGGAGACTCATACTGGGTAAGGATCTTCCTCAGCGCCATGGTGTGCACTGAAGAGACGATCGCTAAGCTCTTTCTTGGTGATTTGCGTAATCAGTCGTGGAATCAGTAACACTTGGTAGGGCTCAAACTACTTACGCTCAACCGCTCCATGTGCTGTTCTGGAGTTGGAGCTGTGACACTGAGCTCTGGGCAGTACAGTCCTGTCAACTATGACTGAGTATCCTATTTGCCACCATCAGACTTTGAGAGAATCTAGACTTTTTTCGCCTAGACCATGAATCACAAGGCTCACGCTTTGTGAATTCGACGTTTTTATCCTTCCAGACGTCTTATCAATTA